TAATAAGTAAGACTCCAGCCCTATAAAACATCGCAGTTTTATTTCTACTGTCGATGCTGTCTAATTGCATGCTATCTATCAGACCTTTTTATGCATATAGACAGTATATGCATTTAAGTTATAAGAACCATTTTGTTGTTAATAATTAAGATCCAAATTTTTTTTATGCATTTAGAGAGTATGCAATTAGACAGTATCGACTGTATTAAATATAAAAACCAGAGTTATAATTCTAGTCGATCCTTGAATTTACTTCAGATCTGCGTATTCCGGATCAGCCTGACATAGAGTCCGAACACGTGCGAAAGAAGAAAAAGCGAAAATACTCGAAAGCTAGTGTTTAAATCGACCTTGGTGTACTAATTAAAAATGCCGGAAATAAAATTTTACATACATTGAGTGTTAATCTTTTCCATAGCCTTTAAGTCCCTTACCCTAAATTTTTATTTCATGCACTTAGCTTATTTACAAGGATTTCCTTTTATGGTCTGTATTACTCGTGAAACTCTTATGGAGTACATACGTATGTTGTATAACTATTATTTCAAACTTAAAAATACCTATTTTTGAAAAACCATTATTTCAACTTAACAATGTCAATTTTTTAAAATGATATATAGCGAGTTCGAAGATTCCACGCATAGTAATATAAAAGTAATATCAAAACCTGAATATGAAGAGGAAATTCAAAAAGGTAAAATAATTATTATGTAATTCAAAGTCATAAAAAACTTAAATTTTAACATATATCAATTCTTTATTAACCACCTTCGAAAGCATTAACAAACTCACTCAAATCTAATGAATTATATATTCCTTTCAAGAGTAATGATGGTTTTATATTGAATTTATTTTATTATTTTAATAAATTGTTTAATATTCATTATGAGCCAACATATATTGTCAATACATTAAGACAATATTTTATAGATAATAATACAAATCCTTTAGATACTTTTAATCAATTAATTCATCATCAAAATCAATCTTACTTTACAAGTATAATCGGTTATTTTTATCAATTTGGAATTGGTACAGAAATTAGTTATAGATTAGCGAACAAGTTTTATTCACGATCAAACTTTCATGATGTAAAAACTTCTAATTCAAGTAACTCGGATTCACCATTTTTTAGCGAATTGATTGAAAATAATTATAATATAGGAAAAATTTCTCTAGCATATTTATATTTTTATGGTATTGGAGTTAAAGAAGATATGCCAAAGGCTTTTGTTTTATACAATGAAACTGTCAAAAATAATTATGGATTAGGTCAATATTTAGTTGGAAAATGCTTTGAAGAAGGTTATGGAGTAGAAAAAAACAATAAAAAGGCTTTCGAATGGTATATAAAATCTGCTAAAAATGGTTCCCCTCTTGGCCAATATGGTCTTGGACGATTTTATCAATTTGGTGTATCTATTAATAAAGATGAAAAATTGGCATTTGAATATTATTCAAAATCCGCTGAAAGTGGAAACTTACGTGGACAAACAAATCTTGGATATTGTTACGAAAATGGTATAGGTGTCATCAAAGATAAAAGGAAAGCATTTGAATTATATATCAAATCATTTTTTAGCGCTGATATGTCTATTGCTCAAAATTATTTCTTGCGTTATTATAAGAATTATATAGGCATTGGAAATGATAATAATATGGCACTTAAATTGCATTTAAAGTTAGCAGAAAGTGGTAATCTCGTCGGTCAAAACAGCCTTGGATTCTGTTTTCATCATGGTATTGGTACTAACAGAGATTTTAAAAAAGCAGTTGAATGGTATTCAAAATCTGTAGAAGGTGGTAATTCTAATGGACAAAATAATCTCGCATGGTGTTATTTTGAGGGTCATGGGGCTGTTAAAAATAAAAAAAAAGCATTTCAACTATGTTTAAGTTCGGCTAACAATGGCAATTCTAATGGATATAATGATCTTGGATGGTGCTATCAAAATGGTGTGGGTGTTACAAAAGACAAAAAAAAAGCATTCGACTGCTATTTGAAATCTGCGAAAAGTGATAATTCTTATGGACAAGTCAGTCTTGGATTTTGTTATGATAATGGTGTGAGCGATGACGTAGATCGAAAAAAATCATTTGAGTGGTATTTGAAATCTGCTAAAAATGAAGGTGTTGTTGCACAAAATCAACTTGGATGTTGTTATCAAAATGGCTCAGGCACCAACATAAATGAAGAAAAAGCATTTATATGGTATTTTAAATCTGCTAAAGGTGGCAATATTGAAGCACAAATTAATCTTGGGCAGTGTTATAACAATGGATTTGGTACTTCTATAGATGAAGAAAAAGCGTTTATGTGGTTTTCGAAAGCTGTATACAGCAAAATTAATAATGAAACTTGGGTTCAGTATTCATAGATAAATCCATTTGAAATCTTATTCATTGACTCCACTTTGCATAGTGGTGCATATTATCGTTTGAAGTCGTATGCTATCTAATCAGATTGCAAAAAGCTTATCACCAATCTCATGAATGTTTTCCAATTATATTCTCATAATCTATGGTATCGATTTGAATTACTTTTATAAAATCATTAATTTGTTTATTTTCACTCGTTCATAATCTATCAATTTCCATATCTTTGCTTTTTTTTGTATTCATGACACTTTAGTATCATATAATTTTCAAGCCTGACACAGACAATAATTGTGATTATTTGATTTTTTTTATATTATTCTTTCTTTTTTTT